AATACAAAAAACTTCAATAAATTAACCTAATTCTACCATTCTGTTGTTGACCCAATATATTACTCCGCAGTGCCGGCCCGAGGCAAGTTTTAGGATGGAGCGAGATCCTATTATGGCGCCCCCTTGGTCAGTAGCGTAGCGAACATAACTGGCGCTCGGGGCACGACACTTTATTGGCGCCCCCTCCATAAACACATATAGTTTGTCTTGGAGACCATTTGGGCGCCCCTCTGCGAGTGGCGCCCGGTGCTTGATACACCCCCTTGCACCCCCTCGCCACGCCACTGCCCTTGGTTGCCCCAAATTTATACCCTAATTTTCTTTACCACTGATTCGCCCCCTAGGACTTAGCGCCTGGAGCGGCTGCTCCTTTCGCCCTATGGTAGGGCCGGCTCTGTTACTCCGCTCTAAACTGACATGATCAACGCATATTTTCAAAAAACTCCAATTCTATATCTCTAACCTGTAAGTTATCATTTTCCGACTCAGATAATACAGAAATTATTAAATTGTTGTGCCTTACTTAAAAAACACTCAAACCACTCTTGACGTAACGTAAACTCAGCCAATATACTCTCCAGGTCTGTTCCTTCAACCGACGAAACCTTTGTATGTAAACTTTTCTCTAAATTAACAATAGATTCGTCCAAATTTTTTCTCAGGTGAAAACCCAAGCATCCCAAAGGTACGCCATACCAGTGTAATATTTGTGAACAGACTTTTAAAAGTAGAATTACAGTACCGACCCCCGATTAACCGACACCTAGGTTAACCGACCGTCCTAGTCGGCAAATTTCAAATGTCCGCTAGTGATGTGGCGCTACAATATTTGGCTATGTCTTGGCTACTTTAATATTATTTTTACGTGTTTTAGCTGGCAACACTCATTCGACCATGAAAGGGAGCCAGTGTTTAAACGAGGCTTAATTTTCTAATTGTTAACGATACAATAGCGACGATTATTATTTAAAAAATTTTTGTTAGGCTTAACATCGATGAAAATTCAACGCGAAGTAGGTTAATAGCGATATACTAATTACATGGGAAATAATAATATACTACACTAATAATGGATTTTTTCATACTTTTCGGTTATCCGACTTTTCAATTATCCGACCAACCCCAGTCCCCAATTNCACGGAACTGTTCACAATGAAGCTAGTTTTCCTTTCTTCTGTGATGTATGTAAAAAGGGATATAATCTTAAAAGCGATTTATTAAAGCATGTACCTATTCATCTGAAAAATCCATATTTTTGTAGCCATTGTAAAAAAACTTTCAAAACAGAGATTGAACTGAAATACCATTTAGAAATTTTCTGTTTAAAAATACATCCCAAGCATCCCATGGGTATGCCATACAAATGTAATATTTGTGAACAGATTTTTAAAAGTAGAATTACTTTTGTGAAGCATCTAATTACTTACGACGATGAGATACATTTTTATTGTGACGTTTGTAAAAGAAACTTTACAACACAACTGAAATTTCAAACTCATCAAAAAACTAGTCATACCACCAAAAAAAAAAAAAATACAAAACAGAAGTTGTTAAGTTTTAGATAATACGTAAGTAAATATATCTCTTCAGGTGTTAAAATGTGTGATATTTCCTATTAAAAATCTGTTTTAATTATACTTTAAAAATTCACATTGGAAGTCATTTTTCATTATAGAAATTTACTTGTGAAATTCATTTAAATATAATATGACGTATATACAAAGCATATTTTAAGACATAAATATTGTTTCTACTTGTAATGTTCGAGTTTTTCTACATTATTAATAATATAAGTTTCGCAACAAAACGTAACAATATTTAACTGTAAAATAAAGCAAAACTGTAATTTCCTGATTACTTTCGTGACTTTCATTTTATGTATAATGATTACAAATGATTTACTTACTTTGCCCATTATTGGTCGAGTGGATAAAACCACTGTACGGTTGATCTCGAGTTCGCGCCTCTTCAAGGGGCTGGCCACGTGATTTTCCGGGTTTTCTTCACGTTAGTAACACCTAAATAGGAGACAGTTTCACATAGGATGTCTTCCTGGCATGTATTTAAGAATGATGACGTGTAAAATACCTGCNTAATTAAATTAATAATATAAGTTTCGCAACAAAACGTAACAATATTTAACTGTAAAATAAAGCAAAAGAATAATTTCCTGATTACTTTTGTCACTTTCATTTTATGTATAATGATTACAAATGATTTACTTACTTTACTCATTATTGGCCGATTGAATAAAACCACTGTACGGTTAATCTCGAGTTCGCGCCTCTTCAAGGGGCTGGCCACGTGATTTTCCGGGTTTTCTTCACGTTAGTAACACCTAAATAGGGGACATTTACACATAGGATGTCTTCCCGGCATGTATTTAAAAATGATGACGTGTAAAATACCTGCTGAGCAGGGACGTAAAGATCCGAAACACAAGAAAGTATCGTATATAGGTGCAGATAAAATTCTTCGTTTTTGCACCCAGAGTTTGCAACAGTGCAATGAGTCCTATTAAAAAATTATAGCCATACTAAACTAGTAGTAATAACGAAATTTTAGTATTTGATATTGATAAAAAAGATTAATTTTGGTTACAAATATCAACCAAATGTGGTCCAGAACATTCAATGATTCGTTAATTCCTTTATATTACAAATTGGCTGAAATCAAACGAAGAAAATTGAGTTGATTATATTGGAGAAAGAGGAAGAATGTTAGAAAAAGGATAAAAAACATAGACTAAACAACACCGAATCATTTTGGTTCATTCACTGCAATGAAAATAACTGTAAAATTGCTTGGATACATAACCGATAAAGCCATCTAATATTGCTAAATTTAAGTATTTTTTCTTTATCTTTGTGTATATTTTGTTATACTTTCAGCCTCCTTATGTTTCATCTAAGAAATCTGTCAGTGTCACCATTGAATCAAGTGACATTCTTTGTCGTTTCATTAATGGGAGAAATGCTTTATATTGTGTATGTGCTGTGTTAGGTTTCTGTTTCGGATTGTTTACTCAATTTTCGTGGTAAAACTCGTTTGAATTGTTAAAAATTGCTACTCTGGATTGAACTCCAGTTGATAAATAACACTATTTTACGAAGCAAGCTTTTGTCGGCGGTCAAGGTGACAACCTGCCGTTCTGGATGACCCGGAATCGGACGCGTCGATCCCGGGTCATCCAGAGCGGGCTACCCTCGAAAAATTCATGGAGATTTTTCGGAGGGTGGTCCATTCGGACATGTTGGGCCCCGATCGTCTTTTTGTGGGCCTGGCCGAACCCATAATGGACCTGCTAAAAGAGGAACTTTTAGTGCCCACAAGGCGGAAAGAGTTAAAAGAAAGCAAGCTTCAATATTTAAGCTTTTTTTATTATGAAAAACAAGTAATTATACCCTATTGTCATTTATGAATTAATTAATTAATTAATTAATTAAGTTAAAATAAGTTTTCTTTAAATTTAAAAGTTATCTAAGTTATAAAAATTATTGCAGGATGCGATTCATAGACGGCGCTTTAAGTTTTTAAACATGGCGGCGCTCATCGTGTGTTCTTCAATTTGCTTCGAATTCGAGTAAAGTTTTCTTTATTTCTTAATTTAATTTTGATGTACCGATATGTTAAACTTCAATATATACTTTCAATGAGCATAAATATATATTTTATAAGTTTAAATGCATTTTTATTCATAAACCTCATTCGACATTCACCTCAGTAAAGTTTGTGTTAATCTGACACTGTGTTCTTGAACCACGTGTTAGTGACCTGTGTGTGCTTTTTCACCATTTTTTTTTTGTGTTTTTTTTNTTAGCTTTTGCTGAAAAAGTAGCAGTTACACATGAAGCGAATTCGAGTAAAGTTTTCTTTATTTCTTAATTTAATTTTGATGTACCGATATGTTAAACTTCAATATATACTTTCAATGAGCATAAATATATATTTTATAAGTTTAAATGCATTTTTATTCATAAACCTCATTCGACATTCACCTCAGTAAAGTTTGTGTTAATCTGACACTGTGTTCTTGAACCACGTGTTAGTGACCTGTGTGTGCTTTTTCACCATTTTTTTTTTGTGTTTTTTTTTTTTGCCTTTACTATTACTCTGGAGTAAGTTGGTACTAGTTTTGTTGTTTTCTATTCTCTGGATCAGCACAGAATTGTGTTAGTTAGATCAATGGGTTAATCTTTACTTACGTGGACTGTCATGGTCGCACTTCCGGAATCTCAACAGCATTCATCTTTCGAAGTAAATTTAACCGAACTTAACCTAACCTAATCTGTTTTTCACTTTTGGCTGTCTTTCGCAATGGATGTTAGCGAGTGGACGTCGCTTGATTTTTTTCGATGCTTAGATTCGCAGTTTCCAGAGTTAGATGTTGACAAGAGAATTTCATCTGATGTTAAATTTGCTATTAAGTTCGGCCTACAACCTGTTGACGCTGATTGCGATAAATGCGATGGTCAGCGGAAACTGTTATTTAGAAAAGACACTGATTCTATTTATTTTAGATGCTACAAATGTAAGACAAACAGTTCACCTTTTGAAGGAACCTTTAAAGGTAAATTCGGAAAGAATTCGTGGGCCACTATTTATTCATTCATATGGCATCTTGTTTGCATCGAGTGCCTGTTGAGTGACACGTGTTTGGCAGTAGGAGTGAGTTCAAGAACGGCTACTGACTGGGGAAATTTCATAAGACATGCCATGATGATTTCCTTGCACAATTTAACAAAAATTAAAATAGGAGGACCCAGTAAGATTGTTGAGGTCGATGAAATTGTTGTAAGTAAAAGGAAGAACAAAAAAGGGAGGAAATTGAAAGGAACTTGGGTTGTAGGTGGAATATGCCGAGAGGACAAATATGTTTCCTGTGCCAAGTAAAAGATAGGTCTGAAGCAAGCCTTAATTGGGTTGTTAGTACATTAGTTCATTCTGGAACCATCACCTACACAGACGAATGGAAGGGTTACAGTCATATAGATGATTTACAAGGACTCGATATTCATCATGAAACAGTAAAGCATGCTGAAAATTTTGTTAATCCTGTTACGGACGTCCATACTCGAAGTATTAAACGATTGTGGGGTTATTTAAAGAACAAAAAGAATTTTCCAATTCATTATACCGACGATCTGTGCGATTCTTATTTATGTGCCTTTATGTATAAAAAGCTTTTGAAATGGAAAACATTAAAACCAGGAGAACGATTTGAATTGTTTCTTCAGCATTTAAGTAAGATTTATCCTGGAGCCAGTCGTGTGCCAATATGAAAGGAACCAGAAACTGTTCCCTCAGCCCCAAAAGCTATCACCACGAAGGAAAATGTAAAGAGAAAAAAAGAAGAAACGTGTGTTAAAAGCAAAGGGAAAGAATCAACTGAATTAACAAAGCAGGATGCCACTACTGATGTCAGAGAATCTACTTTTATGTACAAGAAGCATAATAAAATGGAGTAAAACTATATTAATTGTGAGTAAAACTTATTTTTTTGGTCTTGCTAGTATTGCACCGTCATGGCGGTGGTCGCGTGTTTTAACCTAACCTAACTATTTTAATAAATTACCAATAATTTGGTAATTTATTAGAATAGGTTATATTAGAATGTGGGATCAAATTCTATTTAGGTAGCCCCAATGGCTGCACTTCCGACTGTTCATGCTCCCAATGGACCTCCCAGAGGGGAGCTGTTGGCAAATCGTGGATTATTTAATATCACTAGTTATTGATTCACGGTAGTTCAAAATAAAACAAAAGAAAAAAAAAAGGAAACGTCTACTAAAAATATAGTTTTACTTTTGGATGGAGGATTATTGCATAAAAAATGAACAATTTGGTCAGTGTCACCTACGTCGGATTTCTAATTGCACATGCTATTGAGATTCCGGAAGTGCAGTCATGATAGTCCACGTATGTAAAGATTAACCAATTAATGTAGTATTTACTTAACTAGTTTTTCTGTGTAAACTGTTCATTCTTAGTTATTAAGTTAGTTTGATGTATTTAGCTTTTGCAGTTTCTGTGTTTTTGGGCTGTTTTCTGTTGTGTTGTGTTGTTGTGACAGTAGGCTGTGGTAGAGTTGTTTTTTCTGTTCTTCTGTCTATCTTGTTTCCCTCTTAAGTTAATTTCTATATTTATTAATTAGTATATTAGGTATTATTTTAGTATTTGTAAGTTTTTGTTTGTTGTTTTGAAGTGTTTGTCAATCTTGTGCTTATGGTTGGATCCAATTCCTTCTTGGGTTAAAACTATTTTCTTACCATTATGCTTTATCTTATAATTTTATTTTTTTAAGATACGTACTTGATATACATTTCCGAAACACATAGAATGTTTTGTTGTTGATAAGTATAAAAAGTGCTATAAACAAAACAATCATAGGACAACTTACTGAGTATGCACTGTTTCATATGCTATTGCTTAAGTTCATTGACATTGCAGAGTATTGTATTGAACGGTGGACATGTAGAAAGTGTGTCTGTGACCTCCCACACTGTCACTTGTGATGTAACTATCTTAAAACATCACTTGCCTCGGTTACATGACATCTCTGATGTATTTTCTGAAAATGTTTTGGACTCCAAAGAGACTGCAAATCAGTTTGATAAACATGTATTTGTCACTTTTACGGTAATACTATAACATTATATGACAAAATCCACCAAGTTAAGATTTGATGATGATTTATTTTTCAGGATTAAGTCCATAAGAACGAAAAAAAAACAGAAGAAATAAATTATCAAATTACTTCAAAATTCAGATTACCATTGCAATCTTTTTCCTTTTTTTTTTCTTTTTTAATTTTTGTATACAATATTAGTAAGATATTTCATCGTGTATAATGAAGGTGAAAAGTATCACTGCTACAGTAAGTTTACTTTGCAATTTTTATTGGATTTTGTGTATTTTATTGTCATATCTTTGTTGAAACCAAAGCACATGCAATACAAAATATTAGCTTTTGCTGAAAAAGTAGCAGTTACACATGAAGTGAAAAAGGGATTAAAAACGAAACCTGAGATTGCAATAGACTGGAAATCCACTTAATGCATTGTCCACCTATCTAAAAAGTAAGAACAAATTTTGAACAATGCGATTGAGTAGAGTGGCAAAGATAGGAAGAGAGTAAGAGAACCAGAAAATTCAGATGTTGATGAGTGTATGTTGAAATGATTAAACGGACATGAGACAAAGCCATTCCAATAAATAGACATCTCCTTAGAGCTAAAGCTGAAGAATTTGCTTGTGACCTAGGAAAGAGTGGTTTTAAAGCCAGCACTTGTTGGCTTTAAGGAAAGAATAGGGTACAGTAGACTTCCCTATAAAATGGGTTCTTATAGTTTGGATTCCTGTATGACGGCTATAGGATTGGTAGAATCTACATCAATAGCGGATATTGCACAAACCATTGAGTTTAAACGAGCAGAGGACCTACTAAAAACCATTTATTATTTAACGGCCGTAAAAATTATATTCATATTAATGGTATCTCCAAAGTTCAGCAAAGTTTTCGCAGAAAAATAATTTATCAGGAAGCACGCGAGCGCCATTCGATGCATTGCTCCACGACGAAAACCAGCTTAAGCAATGACGTTGTCGAACGGTGCACACTTGGTAAGTAATCCTACAGTTTTTTGTTTATAGCATAGTTTATATGGATTATTCCCAAAAAATATATGTATTTTGGAAATGTTGAGTTGAATTAGTCTAGAATCGATTAATTTTATGGAAGAAAACCTTTCAAACAGCTGTAGTCTGTAAACTGCCCGGGCTGTGATTGGCTCATGGGACTTGTAGAACATCAATTTCATATAGAATGGAACATATCTACCATGTTATAGGGGGGTCGACTGTATTTTTTTTTTTTTTGTTGTTTGTGGAGGAAACAGTACTGTTGATGTGCAAGAAGCTGATAGGTGAAAAAGTGATTTGACAGAAATGATTTAAGATAGAGATGCCAAAGACATTTTTAATGCTAATGAAATTGTACTTATAACTACATCCCAAACAAAACATTTTCAAAGATGAGCATTGCTGTGGCAGCAAACATAACAAGGCTTTCTTTGTTATGTTTGCTATAACATAATACTTGTAGTTTGTACAAACATGGATGGATTGGAAAAATTTACCTTTGTTGTTGATTGGGAAGTCAACCAATCCATAATGCTTCAAAAATGTTAAAACCAAGCCTGTGGAATGTCAATCAAACATGAAAGCATGGATGATAAGTGAAATTTTTGAAAGATGGCTTTTAAAAATTGAGGAAAAATTTGGAAAACAAAACTGACAAATCCTTTTTATTGACAACTGTGTGTGAGTAGCCAAGGGCATAGACAGTTGATCTATGTCACTTACGGGCACACAATCGCAAGATTGGCTCACTACTTTTTTTAGGAGAGCGTTATTTAGTTTAAAAACGATCTAGAGGATTAATTCTAGATCTCGTCAGGTTTCCTGACACCAGTTAATCAATTTTGTAGTGTATGCGGATTAACACACGTGTGGAGATGATACAAAATACTCATTTTGATTCAGATACTGAGACATTTCCTTTTTACAAATAAAAACAAAGATTTAATGAAACAAAATAGCAAAATTATACAAAAATGGAATAATTAAAGTGAATGTTTCGAGAGAGAGAGCTCACAATTTCTACTGTAATCATACTACCTCTATATCTATTTCTCTTCTACTGTTCTTTAAGGATTAACTTCAGGTCTTTCTAGGTAGATCTTGCATGGCACATATTTATATATTTTCTTCTTTATCTACTGACTTAACAAAACATGGGAGTCTAATATGGGTGTTGGCCTTCAGGAGATGATATGGAATATGTCTTCCTTCTAGGGAATTTCATGGCGTACTCGCAACTAAGGGCGTTGGCCTTAAGCCCTGGTCACACTATGAGATTTCCAGCCGCGCAGGTGACTGCAACTGCGACGGCTGTTCCCATTAACTAGTAATCCCCCTCGAAAACTGGCGCGACTGCAATCGCAACTAGAAACAAAAAGTTTGTTCTACTCACGACGATTGCAAACACGCATCCAATCAACAAACGCCTTTATGCCACGTCATACAGTGACAACATTGAAAATAGTTCATCATCATGGCAGATAGTCAGAGGATTAATACTTTTACAGAATCGAGATTGATCAAGCTTATTCAGGCTCACGAATACCTGTGGGATTTTAATTCTTCGTTTAATCGAAGATTTTATCTTTTCATGTATTTTCGCCAGCTCTATTAAAATAATCGCCTTTTTTCTTTTATTCATTCCAGAAAAGGAACTGCTTGCTATTTAATAAGAAAAGTGGCTAAAATTTCATAAATACTCTGAAGTAGAGCGTAAAATATCGGCAAACTCACGAAAGTAGTCAAAAACAAGCTACTGTAATTTTATTGGTTTATTATAGGGCCACATGTTTCCAAGTTGCAACGTCAACGAACAATGTGTGACCACGAGAAGACGCGCGCGACTTGCGCTTGTTGCAGTTGCAGTCGCCTGCGCGGCTAGAAATCGCATAGTGTGACCAGGGCTTTAGGGAGCCAATATGGAATATGTCTTCCTTCTTTCGGATTTCGTGACGTACTCCCCGAATCATGCCAAACTCTTTTCATTTTTCATGAGTTTTCTCCAATTAGCTTTTTGGATTCTCTCACGTAAACAGAGGAAAAGGGGATTTATCGAGGGGTTAACAATTCCCAGGGTGACTAAAATTTTAGCAGATAACGGGAAACAAAAGGACGTTTCAACTTCTGTTGCAGGAAGTGTCTTTTATCAGTTTCCCTCGTTTAGAAAAAAACAATTTTCCCACCAAAATCAACGAATATTTTTCGTTTAAAATTTAAATTTTTAATTAAATTATTAATTTGCCCAGGGCTAATTCAGATCTCACATGTGCCCTTTTGTGTATAAATGTTCATATCTGATTCTAAGTGATAAGTACTGCCAGAAGTGAATGAAGTGCAGTGTTACTTTGTTCTACCTGTTACCAAAGTAGTTGAAAATGTATTATTTTGTTTTTAGATGTGTGAGGAAAATGATTAAGAGGGGCATTTTCTAGAGCTTTGCACTAACAATACTAATCACTGCTTGCTACTCTAGCCATGCATATGTTGTATTGCATCAGCAATGAAATAAGGCAGCACACAACACCATTCCTCTGATGGAAAATGTAAAGGTTATGTTTCATCCCCCAAATATGACATCAGTACTTCAACTGATGGATCAGGGAGCAATTAAAGTTTTTAAAACACTATTATTGTTGCCTTGTGGTCCAGAACATCCTGTCAGGCACTTAACCAACAAAAATGATGAGGTCAAGATCAACATGATACAAACTGCTTGCTTGTGGGTTTCACTTGATCCCAATGCTTGGGATCAAGTGAAACCACAACACCGTAGCCAACTGCTTTTAAAAAGCTGGATTCTGTCATTTATAAGCTGAAAATATAGATGAAGAGATTGGGTCTGTTGTGACTAGGTAGATATGGGACAGGTACAGGCATTTCTTTTGAGGACTTTGTTAAATGAATGACAATGTGACAGTTTGTGGAGTACTTACAGATACTGAAATTTTGGCTGATATGATGAAAAACAAAAATAACAGTGTAACTTTAGATGAAGGAGGAGACCAACTAGAACCTCCTGAGAAACCAATTCTGTCAGTAGTGCAGACCATGGAGCATATCCAGGAATTACGACAGTTTGTCAAGGGATATCATTTTCTGGTCACTTAATAAACTTAGGGAGTACATGACAACTCAAAAAAAAAAAAAGAAATATTGAATATTTCATGCTTTCTAAAAATTTGTAAATAAGTTAAATTGTATAAACTTCTCAAAGCCTGATATTTTATAATGAAACTGAACAATTACTGGACTTAAATCAGGCCAATTTATAGCTACTATTAATAATTAAATACTGAGTAATTTGGTAGTAGAGGTAGGCATTAGGATAAAATACCTGTCTGTTAATTTGTCCTCTTGTTCTTTTTAAAATTATTTGTAAAATGACAAATAAATTACTTTTAACTTTTTATTTCAACTACAATTCTACAATTACACTGATGTTTTTAATATAGCATGGGTGAAGGTCCTAAAAATGTGTGTATTTTATATTAAAATATTAGACTGATTGAGAAATTGAAGAAATATATTTTGGTGCTCAAAACTATAGAATGAATTCAATATATATATATTATTATTCATTTAACAGACTTAATTCCTTTTTAAATAGGTAGAGAAAACTTCCTGCCAATGACTCCATTAAAAAAAAAAACCTTTGTTGCTCCTAGCGAATTATTTCTCCTACTATTTTTGCTTTTTTCTAGCTCACTTTAACACCCTCAAAGTCACTTTCTGTTTTCTCCACAAGTATCTAGAGGTTATAGAATACAGACAGGCACATACGTATCTTTTGTAAATATGTATACATATCTGGTCATATCTTTACCACAACTTAAGGAAATGCACTTTGTGCTAAAAACCTTTCTATTTTTGGAGTGTCAAACTCAAAATAGCATCTAAAACTTTCATGATAAACTCTTCATCATCTTTTCACCTATTGCAAACACCTTACTACCAGCTGCAATATTGCAAAAACTCATACATAATTATCTCCTTCACCATATCAATTATTTTTGCTAACATCTGCAATTGATAAATTAACAGCAAATCTCTTCTGTTTATACAGATATTTATTTTGCATAAAGAATGCATTATGTACTATGTTGTGAATCAAGATACACACAGATTTCAGTCTCAGATTGGGAAACTGATTCCTTTTCACCAAAATGCTCACGAAATAAACAGGCCAGTTCTTGACTCACAGATGGATACAGAGACTTGACAAAATCAAATGTTATTCCACTTGCACATCCCTAATCTTCGTCAATGTCACTGTTGTATCTAACAACTTTCACACAAAAACTTTGCTACTTTTTGATTACATTATACATTGAGCAGGACTACTATTCAACTAGGTATTCCAGTTGCATTTTTATGTAAACAAGTCTTGGAGCATTGTGATCTGGCTACCTCTGCCATCAGAAACCTCAGAATGATGGATTTCATGTTTCTTAACTTCATTTTCAAGCTATTCAAACTAACTCTTTTATCTTATTGGCTTTCATGATATGAGACTCACTTTTCTGGTTGGAAGAAATGTATAGAGGACATGATTAGGAATTATGAGAGTTGATAAAACAAAAGTGTTAGTAGTATTTAAGAAGTTGGACTATGATAGGATATTGCAGATGCACATTGAGGAGGGGAATTCATTTTATTATTAAAAGAAAACATGAAAATCTTGACCATAGTTAGAATGGAATTATTTGAATTACAAATATTAATAACTTTAAAATTTAAGTCATTGCAAACAAGGTAAGGAGTGGCATGACATGTTTGAATTATACTCACGCACCAACTGCCATTTTTATATTCATATTGAATTACGATTGCTAATCCTTTCAATAAATTTTTATAATAGAGCAGTCGCGATAATGAAGATGAAACATTATTATTATTATACACTTGAAATATTTTTTATGCACTTTCATATAAAAGTCAACTTTTCTAATGATGTAATATAATTTTTCTTTCATTTCAGTTAATTATGGAGAGTGAATTTCAACAGAGTTTTAATATAAGGGATAGTTTTGGTTGTAATAATGCAATAGGTAAGATGATTAAGACTTCTAATTACTATAACATATTTTATAGCATTAAAAAAGTAGCTATGTCCATGTAACAGAAATGTTTACTTGATAACATTTGATAAAATTTGAAAATCTTTTATGTATAAACCATACAGGTTTAAATGTACTTTTACGTTGTCATTATTATTTGCCCTCAATTTATTTAAGGTTATCAATTAAACTTATGAGTTCTCTAAAACAGAGAGAATTCTGAATTAACTCCTTCATAAAATAAAATACAGTAGAGCATCAATTATCCGAATCAATTGGGGACTGGGGTTGTTCAGAAAATTGATTTTTCGGATAACCAATTATGCACGAAAAAATATCCCATGTTGAAGTTTGTTCAAATCCTTAAGTATCTTCTCATGGTTGTGCCAGTGCTGCCAGCTAAAACACGCACATCAACAAAAATAATCTTGGAGTAGCCCAAGACATAGCCAAAGATTGCAGTGCCACAGCACTAGTGGAAATTGAAATTTGCTGAACTGTAAACTTTCGGTTAATTGATGTTTCAGTTGATCGATATTTGGATAATTGATGCTTTACTCTATTATAATTAGAATTTAGTAGTAATTTATTAATTCATCATTTCTTTATTGTGTTGAGTAAACCTTGATTTGTGTTTTAATAGAAAACTGAAAAGTTACTTTCACAGAATTAAAATTCAGGTTTTATTCTGTTTTTCATTTTTAAATACTGGTTGTTAGGTAGGGGAATTGTCATAAAATAAGATCATGCATTATAGGAATGTCCTGTAATGCAAGATAGGAGGTTAACATGTATTCCTTACTTAAAATGGGCTGAATTCATATATTGAAACAATACATACATATATATTTATCATTGAGATGAGTACTTTGAGAAACATTATTTATTATTATTATAATTACTGCCATTCAAATTTATATTAATTATAATAAAAGGGGAAAATTCCTGTAAGTAATAATTTGTTGAGTTTCCACTGAAGAATAATGATTGTCATTACAATTATTATTATGAAGCATATTTCTTTATAGAAAGAAATATGCTTTATTAATTGTCTATTGATGATTTGAATTGTTTGTACTGTTTATTGCTATTTATGTAGTTTTGTGTTTATGATTATTGCTGTTTAACATTCCCAAGGGTAAGATATTTGAAACATTATTCTTGTGCAAATGTGCTATTTCTTATCAAAGTATTTTGCAGAAAATTTTTCTGCATCTTCAAACTAAACTCTGATGTTTGTTTCAAAGTTAAGATGCAAGGTTTTGTATCATTGATTGGAAATTTTTTTGGACTGGTTTTCAGTGGCGTGTTGTCCTTGGAAGTGGTGAAAGCGCAGCTTCCCTTATATTTTCTAAAATATAAATACATATTGTATGATTATTTTCATATTTGAACTAATTAATACTTTGAATTAATTAAAATTTACATTTTATTATAACCTCATTATGATAAGATTGCTATTATATATTTGAATATCAGTGGTGGAATGGTAGCGCTGTATTGATGAAAACGGGACAGCTTTCATGGCAAAAGTGTCAATGGTGTAAAGCAGCCAGATTATACACATTCGTGCCTGTGCTTTACAGAGCACCATCTTTACGTGATTTAGCTGCTGGGATGCTACACACCAAAATATCATATAATGCTTCCAATTATTCTATCCAGGACTAGTCACTTTCCTATCATTCCTTACTTTTCTTCCCTCTTCTCATTTCCTCTAAAACTCTTCATCCTTCCTTTTCAAAGGCTATGCCGTAAGGTTCGGCCTTCTAACACTTTTAAACATATCATATCATATCCAGGACTAGTTCTAGGCTGTTAGCTGCCTGCCTGCTAGATATTTGGCAGCCCTCGCCCCATTATGTGAATTGCGAGCAGATTTATAACTTACCAGTAAATTGCTATCAGTTTAGTTGTTTTTATGATAGTTCTGTACAGTTGACAGGAGTTTTAAAAAATTCATTAAAATATTTAATATATTTATTCTGCTTCTATTCTGCTCTCCCATCTTGTATTACTTACAGATTCCAATGTTAAACCAGTGATATGAAACTGTGGGCAAAAACTGTTGGTCACCCTGCTCTAGACCATTCATTCATTCATTATTTTATTGTATATGTATAATATATATATACAGATCGGCCCTGCTTTGGTGCATTACTGATTGTACACAAAGAAATTACAATGCTCAGGTATAGATGTTGTACATATAACTCTAATGATGAAGAATTAAAAGTACATAAGAAATAAAATACATAAAATAGTACATCAATAACATGAAAATCAAAATAAAAACAAAAGAAGTTAACTGATCTATATACAACTATATACAAATTCATGACAAGTTGCTGTTAGTATTGAAAAACATGTAAAGTTCACCATTATTATCAAATATATATACTTGATTATACAATACATAAGACACAATAAATAAGTACAATAATCAGCATCTTGACAATCAGAGAGAAATACTTGATATTAAAAGTGTGTCAATGACACCAAAGTACAAACAATAAAGGAAATTTAAAGTATTCTGAGTATGTACAATTTATTTGATATATGACAAAATGTATGGTCCTTAGTAACAATTATTAGAACGAACTAAGATCATTAATTAAAATTATACAATAATCAAATATTATACAACGATATTCATTCTACAGTTCCAAAATACAAATGTCAGATCACAATCTGCAGACACCAGTTAATCCTTGAGTTGTGAAGTAGCCTTGCAGATCACTGTATTATGTAGTCAGTTCTTTGTTGGAATTTAGTTTTTTCTCTTAGATACGCTGGGCAAGTTTTATCCATTGTGTTGTGACAATTCTGTACTCTGTTTTCTCTTAAGCAGTTAGCACACTTCGGTGAGTGATGTTTGTTTTGACAATCTTTATATAAATGATTTCCGTTACAATGGCTACACACATTTTGTTTTAAAGAACAATTTTTTGCAAAATGTCCAAATGATAAACAGCGATAGCACTGTGTTATAGGGAGAAAGTCAAAGACAGGACAGGTTGTCCAAAGAAGATGGATTTTTCCTGCTTTTATGATATTTTCTCTAATTTGTGGAGATACTTCAAGAATCCAGGAAATATGATTTTCATTTTTTTGGTTAAGTGGAAACCTTATGTTAATGTTTTCAACAAAAGTGCATTCAGTATAGGTGGAAAAAATGTACGAGTTTTGCTCAGAAATGTCTAATGCAAGATCCTCTTTATTAATGGTTTTTGGAACGGAAGCAATTTTGACTAATGGTAGTTTTTTTTTTTTTTTTTTTTCAAACGTGATACTAAACCTGGAATTTGTTCAACATTCTCCTTAAAATAGTTTACCTCATTCTTATNTTTTTTTTTTTTTTTTGGCAAACGTGATACTAAACCTGGAATTTGTTCAACATTCTCCTTAAAATAGTTTACCTCATTCTTATGGTTTAAATCTACTGCAATTCCACCTTTCCTAATTTTCTTTATTCAACATATGCCTTGCCAAGCTTATCAGGTCTCATGTTATTAGTTAAAGTACTTTTCGTTTCATCAGAAGTGGCTCTATTATTATCACTATATACTAATACAGTATATGCAGATAGAGGTGGTTCGTCTATAACTTTAGTTTGTTTTATTCCCTTTTGTAAGATATCTTTATAGCTAGGAATGCTAGGAACTTTTTTACTAGTTAGATCATCAAAAGAGGTTTTCCTCTGATTTTGTACTGTTTGTTGAATATCCCTTAGGATTTTTGTAGTTTCATCAATGTGAGCATCTTTGAATTTCTTCAAATCATCTTTAGTAGCTTATCCTGAGAGTGTCTGTTCAATATAATCATATAGATTATTTTTCTTAAAAGTACTTTCCGCCGGTTCTACTACTCTGATGAATTGTGTCAGTACATACGTTAAGTGACATTTCACTCCTAATTTGGCATTTGGGTTATGCTTGGAATATTGTTTAATCTATTGTTTTATCTAATGCCATAGACAGTATCGTGAAATGTTTTGACCTCAGATTCCATACCAATCAAAATAATAGGTTTTAGAATTAAAAAAAAAAAATTAACAGAGAAAATGTAACTTCTGGGAAAAGTTCTAGAAGTTTCCTGTAGAAGAGGTCATTGAGCATTGCTATGACTACCGGCAATGGAAAAGTAATGTTGAAATGTTCTAGACCATCACTGCTGTGCAATTAACTGATTGCCCCTTGAAGTTTGCTTCTTATAGGAACACAGCTTTCCTATCATCAAATGTCGTGGCACGCCACTGCTGGTTTGCCCTCTGAGAAATAAGAGAGTCTACACTTAGTCTGTTATGGGCCTGGGTAACACCAAAATGGGCATCTGGGTGGTGAGAGATGAAGCCTAACATGTTTTGGACAGACCTCTAGAAAATTCCTATGGTTTTTTGGAAACTTGGTTGCAATCTTGGATCCCCAGTGCAGTAGGCAGATGCCTTAACTGTCTTGGCCTTCCAGTGGCTATAAATCACTATTATGCACTGGCACATAGCTCTGTTTTGGTTTGCAACCACAAATGACTTATATAATAAAAATATATAGTTTTGTTAATTAATATTGTTAAATTATTAAAAATAAAAGCAATTTTATTAAATTATTTCAACTATTTCTTTACAATTTTCTTAAATCTACACAATTTCATAAAACCTAATATAGATTGTAAGAAAGAAGAAATAAACAAGAATTACAGTATTAAATCAGACTGTCGAGTTGTTTTGAAAAGATTGAATATTAAAGTAAAGATTGAAGATTGCAGCAAAGTTCACTTCCAAGATGAATATTTAAAGGTAAATGTTACAAATATTAGATATTTGACATTATAAAATGTTTGTCTGAGTTATTGAAGAAGTAGCTAAATATAACCAGCTTCATAAAAACTATATTTTAAATTTAGATGTACAGTGGGTGATCGGTTAACGAAGAAATCGGATAACGAACACTTTTGTGAAAGATTTTTATGATCGGACAATGAACACATGTTTGGATAACGAACACTTCACTGAACAAACATAAAAAAAAAGAAGCAACGAAAATAGCAAATACTGATTGATTTCCCCTTGTCTTCAGGCAACAATTCAAAACTTTTCAGAGCATTGGAGACATTGACATTGACACTCAACTCGGAATATACTGATCAGATAGTATTCCTCCGAACTTTGAAACTCTCCCTTATAATTCCAGTCTTTTATTTTTCTGACAGAAACAATTCTTTTATAGTATTCGCGAGATGTCTGATGTTACTGGGCAGTATGGCTTGAACAAATCTACAGTAGGACGTAGTTCAATCTTATATAAGAAAGATACAGTATAATCAAGAAGACTCAAGCAGCTAAAGGAGTAACAAAAATAACTTCTGAGAAATAAAGAAAATTAAAGAGCTCATAATAAAACCTGAAATGGATCTGATGACAGAAGAATGCCAAGAACTCTTGAATGAAGAACACCAAGAAACTTGGCAAGATATGTTTTTTTATGAAAAAGAGGATTAATGCTGATATCTGCTATTAATTAAAGATCTTTTGAAGACGTTGGGGATGTCAGATCAACGGTCTTAGAATGGCATACAAAGATTGAAATTAATAGGTTTGGGGATCTCTACAATTACAATGCTATTAATTACTTATGAAAATCCTGAAGAAGAGAGAAAAGCAATCGACATTAGACAGATTCTTTAACCCCACAAACAAAAAGCATAACTAATACAAATGCAAGACTGCATATATATGTATTTTTATTATTACATATAAATGAACGTAGTAAGAAAATATACATTTTTTCATTTTTTGGGGTCCCCAGAACAAATTAATCAAATTCCCATACAAACCTATGGTAAATTGATAATTGGTTAACGAACAATTTGGATAGTGAAAAAAGTCTTGGAACAGATTATGTTCGTTAACCGATCACCCACTGTATTTTTTTGTATTGTTGTTAAATACTAGTTCATATATGTAGGGTGTATCTGGACAAAAATAAATACTTTAGGAGATGATTTCTTCTAACAAGAGGAGTAAAAAAATTTATGAGTGTCCGTGTTAGAAAATAAATTGTTTCTGATAAAATTGTACAAATGTCAGTAGATGTGCTGAGATCCTTTTTCTGCTCTGCAGAACATGTCAAACTATGTATAGGGCTGGGTGAAATATGAGGTATATCAAAGGAAGATAGTTTTGTAATTAACTTCTTGTTCCAATAAGCAGCTGCAGTTATCAAAAAGGTTATGGACTTCCTTTAAAAAGTACACACAATTTACTATCGCTTTACTAATACATACTGAGAAATTTATTGAGTCTGAGAACAGTTGCTTTGAGAACCTCCTCTGTTCATCACTCTGACTTTTTGTGGATTATAATCAGATGTAATGGATCTTAATTGCAACCAATGCTGTTACATTAACACTAGACATATCAAAGAAGGCAACAATCATCAATCATAATGCTGTATCTATGTTAATATTAATAAATCACTATAGGCATGGAAAAAGTCGATTGAATAGACATTTTCATGTACTATTCCTATGCATTCACCTTCAGAAATGTGGTTATTTACCATTTCTCCTGATACACCCTGTTATGTATGTTCTAGTGTTTTATTTTATTTATTTGCCAATTTATTTATTTGATCAAAACAAGAGGCAATGCCATTTGGCATGGAAAGTCTATTCCAAAGTGCAAATTAACAAAGCCTCATAAAATATATAACACTTGCATAAAGTTTGCATATTTGCTGCTCTAAGTAGTTTGTCTCTTTTTGCTCCATGATAACACTGGAGAAAGACACTAAATGGAACTTTGAGCTCATAAGATGGTGGACACAATGGGCCTGGAATTCTTTTCAGGACCATTGTGGATTTGGCCTTGCCTGTAATGAGGTGATCTTTTAATTTTGTATTTTTCTATATTTTTTAATAAATAGTTTGTAAATATTATCAACAGTGCCATAACTTGCCATTCCTGTGCAAGAATGGCAATTTGCATTTAGGCCCCTTAATTAATTAGGTTTGGGAAAATAATAAAACTAATACATGCATTTTGGGCACCTCTTCTAAGTGGACCCTGTGTGGGTGCACCTCTTGCACCTGCCTAGTTGTGGCACTGATTATCAACTATCTTAACTATATTAATTTGTATTGTTTGTATTGTTTAGCTTACGGAAAAGAATAAATTCTTCACTCCTGAGAAAATATTTAATGAAGCAAAGATCCAAAGTAAGCAAGATGTTACATGTTTATTTTTGTTAAATGTGTTTAAATATTACACTTTCTTCAGGTGTCTCTGGAAGCCACTGATACATACTGTGTTTTTGCAGATTGGCTGGCATGCTGCACATAACTGCAGGAAACCATGCTAGAAACCCCCAGGGTTACCAGAATGCTGGTTAAACTGACTAAAAATTAAAATTAATCAAATCTAACAAAATCAGTTGTTAAGTAAATGTTAAAGAAAACATTCTTCCCAATACAGTAAAATAATAATACAGTAGAGCGTCGATTTTCCAAAAGACAATCATCCGAAACGTCAATCATCCGAAAGATTTCCAGTCGGCAAATTTAAATTTTCGCCAGTGCTGTGGCACTTCAATCTTTGGCTATGTCTTGGGCTACTGAAATATTTTACGTTTTTGATACTAAATTAACATCTGAAGCATAATTTTTTATTATTTTTATATTTTTCAATATATTTATTTTGTTTGTACAAAATAAAAAAATAATTTTTAACGATACAATAGNTCAGAGGCTGCCAGGATCGTCTGGGTCTGTTGCAGCCATAAGGTTTTTAGAATGTCTTCCCCTAATTTATTATTGGCTAACTGCCTTAGTTTTCTTAGTAAATGTAATGGCTTTTCATCTCCCAATGCCAATATCTAAGAGTAGCACTTTGATTCGCCTTTGCTCTGAGTCTGAGAAATTGGCAAGCAGTCTGGTCTTCAGTGTATTTTAACTGTTTTCGGCTGGTGGGTTCAGGACGATGTCGCTTACTTAGTTCAAGATGTCGGAGTTGAGAGCAGACATGACAGAGTGATGCTTGGTACTGTCTTTTGTAATGCCTGAAATGATGCACTGTGCCTCTATATTGACAAACCACAGCTCTGGGGTCTTGTCCCAGAATGGGGGTAGTTTCAGTGCCACTCTGCTCATTTCTGTGGTGGGTTTGGGCTCCGTCATCTTTGTTCAGCTGCTTGACCAGCATGGAAGAGAAAAGGAGGCATATCTGAATTTCCGTAAATGGTGTCTGGGCTTCGGAAATGGTGTTGAGCTCCCACGTTGTCGGATCCTGTTTGGCTCACCAGTGAGGGGACCGTTAATGGTTCCTCTTGATGGTCAAAGTCAGTTAGATCGGTCAATCCGATTGCATCTGCAGAAAGGATTGTCATGGAGTTGAGTTTATGATTCTCAGACGGAAGGAAGGATCCGAATGTCGTTATCACTAGTTTATTTACCAATAATTACAACTCTGTGTACAGAAGGTTATAAGAATGATGATCATGTAGAGAAAGGTCGGATCACATGAGAGGTACAGTATGTACAAACCTGAACACGCCGATCCAAAAGTGGTCAACCTTGACTTCTGCCATCACGTCGGTTGGGGACGATGGTCAGGCGCATGTTGCCGACCATCGCAATACTTTTTGTAAACTAATTTTCCATGAAATAAACCATGTTGAAACCTTTGTGTGTCATGTCATTGTCATGTTTTCATTCGATATTGCATCTTTCAAAAATTATCATTAAAGTTTGTTAGAAGTTCAGGTTGATTTTTTACAGAATATGTAAGTGAAAGTAAACAATGCGATAGAATTAATCTGCACAACTGATTTTATGATGAACCATAAAATATGAAAAAAATTACAGGATTGTATATTTATTGAAATGCTATCTTAAAATTTCTTTCGTTGATTTTATAACTGAGAGGAACTCATACTAGATACAGTATTGGGTAGCTATACGCCAATGGCATCTGCTGCAAGTTTTCCATTGGGAGCAAACTGATATGCTTCCAGTGTTATAATTACTGCTTAAATTTGTAGTGCCTCTGGGCCCTCATAAGGAGGAGAAGTATAAAGTATAAAAATTTCCGAATTGAGGTTCCAAATTTCAAATGGCTTAATTTGATTAAGTGGTGAAAATATGCAGGCAAAAATTGACATTTGTGTAATGTGCTAGATACTGAAATGGTCAGCTTTTTTATTTAATTTATCAAAGGTAAGGCTTCAAGTGCAATTAATTACCTCTACCAAAAAATCCAGAGAGAAAAGAAAGAAAGAAATAGTTGCACCCCGTTTATACGTTTCTCGGTTGTAAATATTTTCTTTTACATTTCAATAAGACCTTTCATGTATACATTTTTCAATTTTCTAAAACACTTCTTAGTCATGCGTTATTTACTTTGAAATGGAAAAGTTGGAAGCAATTATTAAAAATCCAGCATCGAGTTGCTTAACTTTCCTAGCAACATTATTTAAACTGCATGTGGCTCCATCTGTTTAAAAAAATATTCTAAGTGCTAACGAGCAAATATTTATTGATATTTTCACAATGTCTGGCTGCAATTTTTAATCATAATTTTAATTTATTTAATTTAAAGTATATGCTCTTCACCTCAAAATTAGTACAGTAGAGCATCGATTATCCGACTCAATTGGGGACTCGGGTTGGTCGGATAATTGAAAAGTCGGATAACCGAAAAATATGAAAAAAATCCATTATTAGTGTAGTATATTATTATATCCCGTGTAATTAGTATATTGGTATATCGCTATTAACCTACTTCGCGTTGAATTTTCCTCCATGTTAAGCCTATCAAATTTTTTTAAAATAATAATCGTCGCAATTGTTTCGTTAAAAATTAGAAAATTAAGCCTCGTATAAATACTGGCTCCCTTTCGTGGTCGATCCATGTTGCCAGCTAAAACACGTAAAAATAATATTAAAGTAGCCAAGACATAGCCAAATATTGTAGCTCCACGTCACTAGCGGACATTTGAATTTTCCGACTAGAACGCGGTCGGTTAACCGAGGTGGCGGATAATCGATGCTCTACTGTAGTCTTTTCCCTGTACTGTATATCATACTTTTTCTGTTAGCAATAGAGTCTTAACGGTTATCTAACTCATTTCAGGGGGAAATATTTGAATTCAAACAACTTGATTTCCGGTTTGCATCGGAAGTTCGTATATAGTAAATCGGGGCATCCTTTTCATATCCGGTCTCGAGTTTAGGGAAAGACGGACAGACCACAGTGGGAATTTATAAGTTACAATTTTTTCAAATTGCAGCGCAACAATCCCGCTAAAAAATAAATTTTCCTGAAAAATGTCAGGAACTTTCGAAAGAAAAGCACAGGAATTATTAATATTCAAATTGGTGAACAAAATCGTGTTGCTCCCCCCACATCCATACATACAGAGAACACCCCTGTAATACTTTTTAGCTTTTTTTGACGTTTTAAGATCCTCTGAGTTCAAAAAATGAATCTTAGGTGGTCATTTTTTTTACCAATCGCCATATTTTCCAAAATTTCACAATAAATAATAATAATAATATCTTATAAAAAATTTGAAACACTACATTTCACATTTTCGCCGCACCTACGATTCGAACTGATTGAAATGAGCAGAGGGAAATGAACTACTAATTTTACCCGGCTATGCCATGCGCAACCTGTACACTTCCAATGTTCAATAGAGCTAGGTTACGTTACCACTACCCAAGTCTCCCTAGTCGCTAACTGTATCTGATTTCGAATTGGCATGCACTGCACATTCTTCGCATTGCAAAATGACGTATGCATGCATCAGGAACTTCTGTTCGAACAAACCTCGCCTGCCGTCCGGGTTAGCGATTTTAAAAAGGTGGCAACACTAGCACAGAATTTTTCATTACTTATTCTGTGACGAAACTGAATTTTAGTCTTTTAAATTGAGATACCTAAATTAGGGGACGGCGAAATTTTCCTTTGCCCCGGGCGGCTGACACCCATGCTACGCCACTGGGTCAGGTGGCAGCTTATCACTCTGGGGATCCGGGATCGATTTCGGACGGGTCCAGGAATTTTTCGGGAGGTGGTTCGATTGGATATGTTGGCCTCCGTCTCTTACTATTGTGGGCCTTGCCGAATCCATAATCAGCTTGCTAAAAGAGGCCTTCTTAGTGCTCATGGGGCAGAAAGAGTAAACAAATAATCTATTTACATCAGGGGTAGCCAAACTTTTTTCATCGTCGACCCCCTGCAACTTTTCGAAACCTCACATCGACCCCACCAAAAAGTTTGTGTTACAAGGAAAAACAAAAAGCGCTTACTATTTTAATATATATCTTTTAATTTTACATTTTTTTACATTTATTGTACTGTACAGTACATATGTTAATATCAATAATAATTTTTGTAACTGACAATCAATAAGATGGATAAGCTTGATAATCCTTAGCAAGATTAGCAATATTCGGTTCAAAATTTCTAAGTTTTAGTCTTTTCATCGACCCCTATGGGTCGATATAGACCACTTTGGCGACCCCTGATTTACATATATAACATATCTTGTTGGTTTGTTCTTTATATAAATCTTTCTTCTTAAACATATCTAGACCAAAGTTTGTATGAGTATTACTTAGATCATGCATGAATCGATACTATGCTCTATATCACTACAATGTATCAAGGTATTTATCCTTTACATGTAGTGCCCTCTCTTGACAAAAATAAAAAATAAATGTTAATTGTTATTGAATTGTTCACAATAGATTGTTGGCTTACCTGCCGACACCTGCCGAATAGATTAATGACTACCCAAAGGCACCGTCACTGTGGAATCACGTTAAAAATTTATCAGTTTAGATCAGGGTCCATCTATTGGGAGACAGATCATCAGAGGAGTTTTCTAAACAACTTTGGCGTTTTGGTGATGGCAAATTCACGGAATATCCCGATACTAATTTGATAACACTAGATAAATCACGAATGGATATACGAGGGGGCAATATCGGCATGTAAAAACCGAATTCGTTGCCGAATGTACCTGGTGGAGTTTTTAAACTTTTAGGACTACTATCTCATAACCTACAGTACTAATTATGGGTGGCCGGATGGCCGAGCGGTCAAGGTGGCAGCCTACCGCTCTGGGGGACCAGAGTTCGAATCCGAACAGGTCGAAAAATCCCCAGGATTTTTCGGGGGTGGTTTGTTCGGATATGTCGGGCCCTCACCACCC